TTTTTTGGCAAACAAAGTGCTGCACAACAGATGTTTACTGTTAAAATTAAAAAGAAAACAAATGTGATTATTCCTTTAAAAATAAAGATTTATTAATATGTAGTAGTAGTAGTAGTAGTAGTAGCATTGTTGTTACACTGAGTATTAAGACTATAATATATTAAGGATATATTTCTGACACAGTTTCTTCACGTTAAACTAAACTTTTATTTTGACGGGTTGCCATGAGGAATTTGCAGCTGCTGTGTACGTGATATGATGGTAGTTTTCTCAAATTAAATGGTAAAATGCTAATGAAGTGACTCTCAGAGCAGCTGGAGATGATATTCGTGTGTTCATACCATCATATAGTGAGACAGCAGAAGCTGAAAACACCGCGAGCGCCATCCACGCTTTAGTAAACAAAACATCGCGCCATCCGCCATTCATTCATTGCAGAAATCATGGTGCCTTAGGCGTGATATCAAATGCTTCCGCAGATTTGTTGTATGACTATAGAATTTTACCTGAGCTTTGCAAATCGTGCACATTGCTTTGTTCTTGGTTCTTGTCAACAGTATCTCCGCTATGATAAGCACTGAATGAATGACAGGCTTTCTGTTGTAACATCGCGCAAGGTAAATAAGAGGGTGACATCTAGTGGAGAAGACTAATGATAAGATTCACAATAATCAGATCTTGTTTTAAATGTTTGCTGAAATAAATACTGGAAAAGATCGATTCGCGGCTTTTGAGAATCCATATCGAATCGACGTCATTTTAAAAAAACAATTAATCGAAAAATCTTTTTTTTTTTTTTGCCCAGCCCTAAATATTACATCCTATTGCTCCTAAATAGTTAGACATAATTATTCAATAAACTGAATTAAAGAGGTATTCTTCTCCTATTTAATTTCATTTTTAGCATTACATCTGATTTGTGGTAACTTTTTAAAAGCTGTCACCAGTTATATAGCCCACCAGTAACACTCAAAAAATGGCCTGTAACATCTGTGAAAAAAGTTTCATAGCAATACATCATTACACAACATTTTACTATGAACCTGTTTAAAGAATTAGGTTAGTTTTTTTTAATTGTGTCATGCATTTTTAGTGCATTGAAAATAGTTTTGCTTGTTCTATTTTCAGTTCCCGTTTAGTCTAATCTGTTTGTCGCCATCTCTTTCTCCAGGTTCCCACCCTTGTTTCTCCTGCAAGGTCGTGGAGGGTGACGTGAAGCGGTGCTCAGTGAACGGTTGTGGCCGCTATTATCACGAAACATGTGCCCGCAAGTACACTGGCACCACCACCGATACTAGAGGCCTCCGCTGCCCTCAGCACAGCTGTGCCACATGCTGTCTTGACCGAGACCTTCACAAAGCTGGCAAAGGTAGATATATAGAAGATTGACTTTTGCATTGTATTTTACAGAAGCAATTTCAGAGCGGTTTCCTTTTTTTTTTCTCCCTGTTTAGGCCGTATGATGCGATGTATCCGCTGTCCGGTGGCGTATCACACAGGAGACGGTTGTGTGGCGGCTGGCAGTGTGTTGATAACACCCCACATCGTCATATGTAGCAACCACTCCAGTTCCAGGAAGAACGGACACTTTTCCTCACCTGTAAACGTAGGCTGGTGTTTCATCTGTGCTCGAGGTACGTTTGGCCTGACAGTCTTCATGCCTTGCATTATAGCTAAAGCCATAATTACTGAGATGATTAGATTTGTATGTTCAGTGTATCTCATACTTTAAAAGGCATTTAAATGGGTTCTTGTCAAAATTGCAAGTTGTCACTAGTGCAATTAGTGAATGTAACACTTTCTAACAATCTTCTCACCACATCAGTATTTTAATGTTCTCTTGTGTCATCCTTTGTAATGTTCGATGTTCCTTCTCTTTAAGAGTTGACACTTTTTAATGTGACCTCCTTTCTTGTCACCTAATCCTTTACTTTAAGATGTACTGTTTGTTCGTGATCCATCAGATCATGTTTGTTTCCTACTAATTAGTAACATTTAAATTGTCTGTGATTCTTCTGGGGAAGGACTGAGATTGAATTTAATTTCAGTTGAACTTTTAAAATGGCAAAAATTGTCTGTAATTTAAAGGGGTCCTATTATGCTCTTTTACAAAGTCTTGATTTTGTTTTGGGGGTGTACTAGAACATGCTCTCATGCTTGGTGGTTCGAAAAACGCATTATTTTTCACATAATTTACATTATTAAAATACCTTTCTCCCCATCCTGGCACAAACGGCTCGATTAGTTCCGGCTTTGATGAAGGTCCGCCTTCCGAAAAACAAAATGTGTTGTGATTGGTTAGCTGTCCCAGTGCGTTGTGATTGGCGAACAGCTTAGACGGTGTTTCAGTACTGCCACGCCCCTTGCGCCGTCTTTCAACAAAAGCTTTTTGCTTTTACACTGTACTCCCTCATGATGTGGAAGCTGTCCTCAGTAAAATGCGCAGCACACAATAGCAAATTGGGGTTATAATGTATGCCAGAGGGTTTTTAGTATTATTTTTCACAGATATAGAGATTATGGTCTTCACAATTAATTAATCTTTATATATTGTTCAAGTAAAATTAGACATTAAGACAATAAATGTTTAAAATTGGACTTTAAGTTTTATCTGCAATAACACTAAATTAAGTTGATTTAATTACAAATTAATTTGAAATGAATTGCTAATATTGGTTGATACCGTTCTGGTTACAATATATTGTGCTCTATATTAATGTCAATAAGTGTGTATAGATGAATAAGCCTGTAATATGCCAAGACCTAAACCAAATTATTTTCACAATTTATTTATGAATAGGCACTGATTTTTGATAGCATTTTGTTGCACATGTAAACTCGCTCCGTGTTAGTGTCTTACTGCCAGAAGTTTTGTTCAGAATGCAAACCTTAATGAATATCATGGATCGCATCTTTAAGTTTTGGAACAAACCTCTTCCCACTTTTGTAGAAAAGCTTTTTCACCTTCTAATTTCTCAAGAAACTAACTGATAATTATAAACTGAATTTTGGTCGTTTCTTTAACCATCTTTGTTGTCTGCAGTAATTTGGATAGTCCGTGTTGGCGTGGGAGCAATTGCATGATCTTTATAACCAAAATTTGTCCTTACTGACAAAGCAAAATCTTTCATTTACTCGCATCATATTGTTCCAAGCCTTTATGACTGCATTTCTTCCCTGAAACACAAAATGCAAAATTTGAAAGAAAGTTCTAGTTCAGTCTTTCCTTCACCCATGCAGTTGCAGTTAATCAGGGCTAGACATGGGCCGATTACCGGTTTCAAGGTATACCGCAATTTGACAATTTCACGGTTTCAAAACCACTAATATTTTCTGTTATACCGTTCCTGCGGTATGCTCTGTTTTTCATGACTCCTCAAAGACTGAAAGTGTAGGAATCCCTCAGGTTGAGTGCAGTGTAGAGAGTAGCACGACCCTCCTCCTCCTGTTGGTGCGTGCGAGCGGTCAGTAACGTGTGTGTATGACGGCCGAACTTAAGGAGCTTCCCCTGGAACTTACGCCATCTGCAACCGGCTGTTTTTTGTCTTATTGCAAGCAACTCGTCTCTGTTCTGGACTTGCACAAACTGCGTTGCAATGCAATCGTTTTCCAAAATGTCATTTATGTGAAAATATGAAGTCTGTAAACGCCCGTTAACACAGGCCAGAGACGCTGAAGACG